AAAACAGGTGACCAAACATAGAGTAATTATCTAATTTAATTTGATTGGATGTGTGCAAGATATACCCAATCTTTTACCATTCACTCTTTATTATGTGCAGGAAAGAATTCCTCTAATTCTGCCTGTCCTCACAAATCTAAGCCCGTTGGAGGAAATCATGAAAGATGCCAATATTCACCCTATTCGGCCAATACTGAGCTTTAGCATATCTGTGAAGCCTCCACTCCAAGTGCCAAGAAGGCAGGGATGGTGTTCGAGTGCTCACCCCTAGATACACCCAGCCAGGCTATCTCTGCTTGGTGCATGGTAAGTGCTCAGGGAAAAAAATTAATAAAAGTAAAATATATAAGCATATTTACTTAGAGCAAAAATAGTGACTTTCCCAGTTCAATCCGTTCATAAGGTAGATCAATCTGTTATAAATGCAATGATGCTTATATTAAAAAGAAGTATGCCTTGTCCATTTGGCATAAAGGAGTTATGTGAACATAGTTCCCACTGAGGTGTTCGGGAATTAACTGTTTCATTACTTATTCTCCAGGATTGTCAAAATGATCATTCTTCTGAACTCACTAGAATTTCTTCTGGTTTTGTTTTCTTTTTTCTGGCTGACCATGGGAATACTGAAGCATTGCAAAATAGATTCAACTCTCTAATCTGAATTGAAGCTGTGTTAAGTGCTAGAAATAAAAACCAGAGGCTTCAGTAATCAAACAGTAAACTGAAGACAGTGCTGTAGATGTTAATGTTTCAGTAAAGATGTATTTCGGATCAGTTAAAAAAGGGCAAACACTGCTTTCCTAAATGGAAACTAAAGTTACCAGGTTTTTTCCATTTGTGTATTTATTATTCTATTTTCTGAACAGATGCCTGAGGTAAAAGGTCAATGACACTGACAAGCACATAAAGATTGGTTGTCGTCTTGGCGCCTAAATAGGGGTATCTTGCTGAAGGTCCCATGGTTCTAGTTTTTCCCCCATAGCAGAATTTTATACCTTTTCATTATTAAACTAAACAGTCACTGATTGTCTTTACATATACTAAGGCAGATAGTAATTTAAAATTTGCACAGGAGACATCATTCTCTTGGGTTAGAGATGTCTAAAACATCATTGCTACAGGGTTTTTAATTATATGAGCAAACAAGACCCTTTGCATTATATGGGTTAGAAATCTCTCTGAGAAGCAAGAACATTAAATCACTCTGTAGTTTGTTTTTGTAAAATTGTTTTAAACGGAATACTCACTGGTACTCATGTTGGCATGTGGAAAACTACCCGGATGTTAAAACTCACTCTCTGTTGTAGCTGTGACTGTATTTTTCTGACACCTCAGTTTTATCTGGGGATTTGAAAATGGAAGGTCTATCATGTAGTCTATCATATTATTTAAAAAATTCTGTAAAGGAGTATTTCCACCTCAAAAATGCATAACTTCTAAGGATTCAGGGCATAAAACTGTGTGTAGGATTTGGAAAGGGAACAGAATCTAAGACAGTAAAGGCAGTTCAGTTAAATAAGACCATATCTATCCATTTCATTGGGAATGAATGAGATAGAGACTGTAATTTTACTAACTTTACAAGTAACTCAATGTTCATTTTCTTTCTTTTTTAAAAAATATGTTTTTATTGATTTTTTAGAGAGAGAGGAAGGGAGAGACAGTAACATCGATGTGAAAGAGAAAAACATTGATCGGCTGTCCCCTGCATGCCCCCCGCTGGGGATCAAGCCTGAAACCTGGGCATGTGCCCTGACTGGGAATCTAACCGGGACCTCTCAGTCCATGGGATCCACTGAGCCACACTGGCTGGGTCCAATGTTCATTTTCTTACTGCAGTGCTATCTCCTTAACATCAGAAATAGCGCAAATATCAGAAAGCATGGTTCATTATGTAATAAAATGTAACATCTCCTTTTCTTAATTTAAAGTATTTCCTTTTATATTTTCCTTATTGCGTCTTTTAGATTTTCTTACGAATGTTTTCTTTACATTCTGACTCTGATCACACTGGAAGTTAACTTTGCATTTTTTCATTAAAAATATGTTCCAAACTATTTTTCTTAAATGTGAGTCTGCCTGTGCCATCAGTCCTCTAAGAAGGAGCATTCGAATGGTCTTCACTGACATGCAAGCAGAGTATCAGTCAACACTCCCAACGGGAAGCCTTGCAGTTGAACAGGTGAAAAGTGAGAACTGTCTTCCACTAATGCACGTGCTGATGTCAAAAATCGCTATTAAATAGAACCTGTGAATGGTAAAAGTCTGATCATTCAAATTTTGGATAACCTTCTTTTCACATTTTTAATGTCTGGGTATCCTCAAGGTCCTCCTGATCCCCTACCTTTGCTTCTGCATCAATATTATTTTAAGTTGTGCATTGTCTAATTGATCTAGAAATACGTTGAGATAATAATGCATGATATCACCCTTAACACCCGCATTTCCTCATGACAAAAGGTGGCTGATACATGGTCCCTCTCCTACAGAGGCAGCCAGTGACCCAGGAAGACTGTCCGGCTCCCACAAGCTGCCACCAGGCCTTTACAGTAAGCTGCTTTGCTCTGAGCCAGGGACTCGGGTCCCTGGAGATTTTTGAGGTTAATTTGGATTTGGCAAACGTCAGAGGCCATATTTTAGGACCGTTAGAAGAAATGGAACCATGCCTCTAAATATAATCTGCATTTTTGCTGCTCGCTTTTTGGTGGAGTTTTGAATTGTTTGGATGAGCTGTTAAAATGAACAGTTACTACATACTCTCTTCAAAATCCTTACCTTGGATTTATTAAAGTGATTGTACAAATGACGGTGTGGTTATCACTAAACACATGAAAATGATCATAATCAACTCCTGGTTAAACAGTTTGCAGCTTCACAGTGGGAAAAATTAAAAATGGACAAAGCATCAACATTATTGAGAATTAGCAAAATTTTCACATATTAGGAACATGTTGAGAAGCACATAACTGATGGAAGCATTACAGCGTCAGCTGTCACTGGCCCTTGGTCATCTGCCTCCCAGTCTAAGTGATTTTACTTTCAGTTTTTTACTATTTTGGATAACTTCCAGAGCGCGGATGTATTTCTAAATATTGGATGTGATTTTAAGTTAATGACTTTACCCTCAATTCACGTTGTCCCATGTTTTCAACTAGGTTTGTCTCATCTGTTATTTTGAGAGTATCTCAGAGTTTCCCAAACCCATCACCCAGGCTGACAGTGACAATCGGCCTGACGTTTTAGGCAAGAAATAACCTAGTAAACTTAATTCTGTACATAAAATGTGAAGGTGGGACAACGTGGAACAGGGGCTTTAGAAAAAAAATGAGCTTTGACTGATTTCAAATTATTTCACTGACTCTGGAAAGAAGGTCAGAGGAAAGATGGGAAATAAGTGTTCATAGTTTATAACTTCTTTCTTATTATTTTAAATATATTGATTTTCTCTCACATAGTGATGAAATGTAAAAAGTTTATCCAATCCGAATGGCAAAGTTAGGTTTTAAAAAGCAGTGGGAAGCTCCTGGAATAGATGTGAGGACTCCCGAGGCACGGCAGGCCTCTTGCTCGTTCACACAGGAGACAGCTCGGGGCGTCACGTGGGATTCGGGGCTTCTGCATCAGTGCGAGGTCGCTGATGGTCGCATTAAACGGCACTATTTCCTAGTACTGCGTTCACGAAAAGGTCAGCCTCTTGCTCGGAAGGATTAGTGCTTCTAAATTGCAAATTTACTGCAACTACAAAGAGTTATATCATAGTGAATGAAGAAAAACAGTAATAGTTCCCTATATCAAAATTTCCCAAAGTGGGTCCTATGGAACATGAGCTCCTTGGAATGTTATTAGGTGTTACTCCAAAAAAAGCTTCTGTGGTCACATTAACCTGGAAAGCACCAGGCTAAATGAAATTACATCTGTGATGTGTTTCTTTCCCCCTGCAGGACATTTAAACGAGACCCTTCTATGTGTTTATATGCACTGACGTTCTAAGACAGCATGTTTTCCAAACTCCTTTAACTCTGGAACCCTATACTTGGAAGAGTCTCTTTGGAACTTGTGTTCTGTGGAACTCACTTTGGGAAATACTGGGATTCTCTTACTCCTGTAGCATGCAGCTAACAGCTCAAAAGTCTAAATATCTGTGATTTAATCTACAGGCAGTAAGTGGATCCCAGTGTGGTATCTAACAGTTATATCATTTCTGGGCCAGAATGCTGGTGTGACAAGCTAAGGCCATTTAGGGGGAATATTAAGAGAAGATCAGTCTAATGTTGTGTCCAAAGGAGGACAAAAAATTCTAAAATCATGGGAAAATAAGTTTATGCAGAGTATGTATTCCTATACTGTCAAATGTACAGCGAAACGCTGCCCTTTCTAAACCCGCTGTGTTGACTCAGTTGCAAGAGTTTGATCTCGCAACAACTCAGGGAAAAAAAGCAGGAAAATCAAGGTATACCTGGCCAAGAAAAGAAGTGATCACTGCCTTCATGAATACCTCATGTACTGCCAGATATCCCGGTGATCCAATTCAATAGTGTAATCGATTTCCCAACGTGGGGACTGACAGGATGACGTCATCATCACACGCACGCAGTCCTGTGCACACAATGTATGTGGGCTGAAATCATTCAGGTTGTATGAATAGGCCTGTTCTAATTTACCCGGATTGCATATGCTCCTTAACTCTATGAAACACTCTCTGTAATAAGAACGCTACTCAGACGAGATTCAAGAGGCCGATGCCTTCAGGCTAGGGCAGAACAGAGCGTGGCCTCTGGTAACAGTAACGTGTACATACCTGGACGAAAAACAGCCACTTCAGAGTTAAGGGCCTTGGGCTATTTGGTCACATAAAATAAATGCAGGTCTTGGGAACTAGCTTTGGAATTTTTTATGTAAGTATTGTTTATTCCTTTGATTAGGAAATTGCACATACAATGAATTTTTAGACAAACTTCCCTTCCTTCATCCCCCACCCGCCCGCACCCCGACCCATCCGAAGTGCCAGCGGGGCGGCAGCAGAGCGGGGTGTTAATGAGGCCCCGGGCTTGGCATCTTGCTGGGGCTCATAAGCATGTGGTCACCCGTTCCCAGCTTCATTTCTAAAAGACTGTAAAATCATCCCAAATTTGGCACCATGGGAGCTATTGGCAAGGCGAACTGGGCTGGGGAGTCTGGGCAGCTCGGGGGACACTCCAAGGCTTTGGCAGTGCTGTTCAGGGAAGCTTCACATGCAAACTGCTCAATGTCCCTGAGGGCTCCATTCAACCTTCCCTGTCCCTAGAAAACGGGAGAAGCTACGAGCCACAGGGCACCGGAGGGTGATGTCTGTAGACTCCCAACAGCTGGGGGAGGGTCTGGGAGAGAGGGCTCCAGGACAGGGGAAGGGAGTAAAATACTCTGGACATAGGGATTAATCAAACTGCTACTATTTTGCCTACAAATTCTATCTTTTACAAATCTACAAGCCAAAACGAGAGGAAAAGAGGCAGTAAGGGAATAGGAAATATACACACCACTGGGTTAAAGTCAGAAATGAATTAATTCTACAAAGAAAAATTGAGAGGATGCCTTGTGAACCTCAGTTAGAGGGGAAGTCATGCATTCCTGCACCATCTACTGAGATACTCTGCAGCAAATAAACACCAATTTACTAATTTAGTAGCTTTTCTTTTTCATCTTCACCAAAACAATACTATTTTCATTTTGGACAATAACAATGGTCATAGCATTTTAAAATGTCTTTTCTTTGTGATTATGAATTTCAAAGTTGTTAAAAATAAAAAAAAGGAAAATTGACTGTGAACCACAAAATGACATTGCTTACTCCCGAACTCAAGTTGGCTGGTGGGTTTTGGTAACACTCCGAGTCAGACGCCCTAAATCTTCAGGCAAACTCAGGCACAAGGCCTGACTGTCCCATACTGACCACAGTCAGCATGTCCCCCACGTTCCCTTCCTCACCCCCACCCAGATACACACATCCAAATGTTCAGTGTCTCTTTTTGGGAAAGAGCTCAATCTCAATGGTGGTAGGTAGTTTGTACTGGAACATTCTGTGGCTAAAAAAAATAATAAAAAACCTAATGCTAATGTTGGGATTCTAAAGTTATAGTTTACAAAAGTAAGCAAGTCTCCTGGGGAACTATTATGCATTCTCACTGTAGTCAACGGAAGGTGAGCGCTGGGGGGATCCACAGGTGGCAGTCCTTGGCAGCCACAGGGGAACCGTCCCACCCGCGGGTTCTGTCTGGAGCCCGCTTCAGAGGAGCACAGCTGAGGGGGGCAGGAGGCGGCCAGCGAGCAGGGCCCCCGAGAGGCTATAATGACAAGTGCTGACTCAGAAAGAACAGAGCCAGGCGGACACCCCGGCATTTCAGACATACGGGGCTGGGAACGCAATGAAAATCCGGTTTGGCTGTTTGAGCCACTGCAGTCAGGCAAACAGGGTGACTGAGCATTCTGTCAATTAACTTTTTAAAATACTGAGATTGGAAACATGACTTTGGTGATAGGAAACGGAAAGCAGCAAGCCTGGCCCCCAAATAACTCTGGGCTGCTTAACAGTACGGGTTTGAGCCTGAATTCCCAACCAGTGTTGCGGTCACTGAATAGTCTGCCTGGGGACAGCTACCCACTGTGGACAGTGATCTGCAGCCAAGTTCAAGGCTGCTGCTCTCCACTGTCGAGGAGAAGCCGGGCCGGCAGTTTACCACCACATTCCAACACCTGGCTGGGAACTCGGTCCTGCGCTTCAACAAACACTCATGCAGGTCCCAGCTGTGGCTTCTCAGAACACTCCTTGAAAGACACTTGAAAGCTACCAGGATAGGAGAGGGGGGAAGCATGAAAACTGGCAGCGGGAGCTCTATCTAGGGTGGTACCCCAGCTTTCTCTCCCAATACACGTGCCCAACCTCCCAAGGGCACAGCGGGACTGATTCAGCGGTTATTTCTCCCTCTCTATCCTTACAGATGGTAGGAATTATGATACTGTGATTTACCACAGTGACTTAATTTCTGACTTCCCCTAAGAGAGTTCTTGGTAACAGGACAAGAAATCATGGCATCTGGTTGTGAAGTTTAACAGCTGACAGAAGATAAGGTGTAAGCAAAAGGTTAAGGTCATGCACAATTAGGGTAAATGCGCAAAGACGGGCCAGGTGGTACCCAAAGTCTAATGAACTAATAAAGGGAGCAAGAGAAAAAGATGATTTCGGCTGTGCAGCCCGCCTCAACCTCCCTGCTCCTCTCCATCTCCAAGGGCAGCCACGAAGAGCAGCCCACCTCAGATCTGTTGGGCTGCGGCCGAGCGGAAGACCTGGGTGCAGGAGGGTGAGCATTCCCAGGGCAGCTCTGCCCTCAGCAAAGGGCACTGCCCCGACTCACGGGCGACGCTGCGGCCTGTGTCCTGCAGCTCTGGGCCGCCGGCTCTGCTCACTGCTCCAAAGACAGGACACAAAGTCAGATGCCCGGAGGGCCCGGTAAGGGGTCCTGAAAAGAATCTTAAAAGGGGGACTATCTGGCATACATGCCATTTGCTTCATACATGTGAATCTACAACTACACATTTATATATTTTGGACACTGGATTAAAGAATTGGGAAACACGAAGAAACAGTTTTCCAGCCTCTCAACTACATTGGCCAGGAGCACCCTCTTTTCATCATCATTGAATATGGACCTAAGATGGCCAGGGAGGGAAATCCCACGTCTGGGATGGGTGATCCTAACTGCAGCGTCCACACCTTTTACTACATTATAAGAGACCAGTATGTTGAAAGTCCTTTAGTCTACGGCAGCTGCAACCCCAAAGGGCTCACTGCTCTTCCGTTTTGCTGCTATTCCTGAACTTCACCACCATGACGGTTATGTTGTCAGGGCAGCCTCTGTAAAATGACTGCAAAACGATGCTCTTGGCCCCGAAGTGAGGTTCATCCAAGCGCTCCTTGATGAACCGAACAGCTTCTTCGTTGCTGAAAGCATCCCAGAGGCCATCCGATGCCAAGATCATGAACTCGGGCTGGAGTTTGTCCAGGTCAAAGGTTAGGATATCTGGGTCTGGGATGACCACGTTGAGATTTTTCAGCGGATAATCCCCCAGGGATCGAGACATGGCCAGGATTCCCTGGACCCTCCAGGAGCCATTGAAACTGATAAAACCACCTGGAAAGAGAATGAGCCCATTAGCCTGACCAACAGAAAGCTCACACACTTGCTACAGTCTGGACAGGTGCACAGAAGGCCGACCTACCGCATGTGACAGGGCATGTGCTCCCCTCCCCCCACCTTGACACTGCCAGGAAGGAGCAGCACACTGCTGCATGGCTTGAGGTACGACACTCTACCAGTAGACCCTCATGCCCTCACCCTTGTATCTTAAAAGACTTCAAGAAAATATCAATAAGAATACTGAGGGTAGGAGATGTGTGCAGACAAGGGCATCAGTTTTGACTTAACACCTTGACAGTTCAGTGATTGACAGTAGGGAGCACTGAACCAGGGATTCGAGGAAAGTGGCAAAGGCATGGGTACTAGAGACAACTGCTGAGATTTAGCTTGAGACTGCCCTTGGGTGTGCCTATATAGATATCAAAACAGCACTCCAAATAGGATGAGGGTTTAAAAAACTGCTCTCGGGTCACACTGAATGGATTTAATTCCTGGTTCCATTATTTCTAGTCACATGAAACTTTGGAGGAGAAACTCTATCTCTCTGATTCTCAAGTTTTCTTGGCTGCAAAATGGGGACAGTAATAGGACCTATTCCATTAAGTCGTGAAAAATAAAGGAGTTAGTCCATATAATCACTTAGCACAGTGCCTGAATATAACATGCACTCAACAGTATGTATTATTGCCCAGCCCGTGTGGCTCAGTGAATTGAGTGTCATCCCATGCACCAGCAGGTCACCAATTCGATTCCTGGTCAGGGCACATGCCTGGGTTGTGGGCTTGATTCCCCAGTAGGGAGCATGCAGGAGGCAGCCAATCAATGGTTCTCTCTCACTGATGTTTCTGTCTCTCTCCCTGTCCCTTTCCCTCTATCTAAAAATCAATAAAACATATTTTAAAAAACAGTATGTATTATTATTTTTCTTTAAAGTGATTAGAACATTGTTCATTCACATATTATTTGTCAGGTAGTCATTAAATATATACTCCATCCCGGGATGATTTCCAGTTATGAGAATCAGGGAGGAGTGAGCACTGAAGCTGGGCTGTGACTGGCAGGCAGGACTCCTGTGGGCGGGGGTGAATGAGCACATTCCAGGAAGTGTGGGCTAATGGGCAAGAGCACGTGCTCTGGAGTCCGACCGTCCTGGTGTCAGTTCTGGTCTCACCATTCACTCGCCGTGTGTCCTTGTGTACACAAGCCTCTTGGAGGCTCCATTTTCTTGGTTGTAAAATGAAGATAACATTATCAACCTCGTAAGGCAGGGACAGAGAAAGTGTATGTAAATAGCTAGGCTTGGCTTCCAACACAGAGTAATCACACAATAGCAGGTAGCATCACTTTTTGGAAACAGCATCAGGAATGGAGACAGAAAGACCAACATGTATTTGGCCCAGACTGGTTGCAGCGAATTGTCACACAAAGGCAGGAAGGGAGATAGATGTCCCCAAAGGAAGGTCAGAGAAAATACACATAAAGATAATAAAACCAATCATAGTCCCTTCAGCCTTGCTATAAAAGACCCTGGACATAGCAGCTTAGATTAAGCTCCTCTGAGACAGTGTCCAAATGTGCTCCTACAGAGAATCCCTGCAGGGTGAGGGCGGGGTGATGGGTATGGCATGACAAAGAGAAAGGGTAAAACCAAAGTAACATTGCAGAAGAAATGGCATTTCCAGGCGCAGCATCCACACTCCCTTTGCCTGAGCTTACACAAGAGGAGGCTAAATGGATCTCAAGTTCAGGGTCACGGTAGACTCACGGGGACGGTGTCTTCGTGAGTAAGGAAGCCAGAGTACTGCACTCATACCGCCTGCAGCTCATCAAAGCTTGAGAGACGCTCTTGAAACATTGTTTGTTCCATCCCATTAACAGAAAACCTGACCCGAGCTTTCATTAAACATGATTCTGCATCTCAAGCAGTGACTGAAGCAGGAGGGTGCACTAACAACATTCAACACTTTGACTCAACAGTACAGCTTCCTGCTGTGAAGATGCAAATGTTGATTAGGTTCTGGGCAGAAGCTGACCTGCAGAGAGGCGACCTGCAGATCACCGCAGGCAGCGGCCTCCTGGTCCCGTCCTGGTCAGAGACCCAGGGCACAGGCGCTCCCCCCCAGCAGCTGGGCCCGCAGCTGGCACAGCACGCTCGGCACACCTGCTGCAGCTGTTGGTCTGGGGGGAGACGGGGGCAAGATGCCTACCATCCACAGACAGAAAAGACACCCCAAATCAAATCATGAAGATGGACCATCAACTGATAACCTTTCCTCAAGTATCTGTCCCAGTGTTACCTCAGTGAGGCCCACACTGACCACCCCGACACTCCCATTCCCTCACCTGCTTTCCGTCTCTCCGTGACAGTCTCCACCTGGTAATATACTCACCCGTAACACTCTGCATAAGCCACTGATTTGTATTTATTTTATATCTTAATGTCTGTCTACTACATTCCCCACCTCCAGCCCAATTCCAAATGTAAGTTTATATGCCCAGCCCCTAATTGTAGGAAAAAATGATAAAAAAGGGATTCTTACTCCCTAAACGACTTCCTTATACCGAGAACTGAGCAAGGTGCTGGGAAAATAGAAACGAACAGACCAAGTTCTTGCCCCAAAGAGCTCCCAGTCGTGAAGACAGACAGACGAGAGAGCCATACGTTGTAAAAGGTGGCCTGAGAGCCCACAGAGGACCCGGGGGAAGACGGAGGAGGTACCTAACCCAGCCTGGGGAGCCTGTGGCACAGTGTGGCAGGGAAGGCTTCCCAAAGGACACCCTTAAATCGAATCTTGTAGGACAAATTGAGTCTTATAGGACCACGAGGTATCAGAAACATGGTTCGTCTGGGGAATGTTAGTAGCTTGGTATGGCTGGAGGGAAAGCAGGGGCCCAAAGATCTCGTTAGCCTCTAAATTAGTAAAGGCTTTTGTTGGTCCTTTTAGAATCTTCGACCATGAAGAAGGGCAAAGTCAGTGGCCATTTATTTGCTAGAGTCCAGGCTCAGCCACCTCAGGAGCAGCCTCTGTGCTGATCTACTAATCACCGGTAACTAACCCTCATGCCCCAGGGGCTATCAGAGCAAGGCCCCTGGAAACCAGGCAGCTGACTGGGCGTGGAGGCTGCACACGCTCACCCGCTCTCTTTATTCTTTTTCTTTCCTTCAGTTGGTAAGGCTTGTGATCATGAGACAAAGGAATGGCGTTCCCGTCCTTGTCACATAGGACCCCACGGGAGTCACCCACGTTGGCCACGGTGAGGTCTTTATCTGATAGCAGAGCAATCAAACACGTGGTACCTGAAAAACAGAAGAGAGAGGTAAGGCAGGAGGTCGCCATGCTCGGAGGCTGGGCTGCTTCGCCGGTGACTGGATTCAGTCATTAAAATCGTTCCCGCTGGGTGAGACTTTGAGTCCAGCCACTCGGAGGACGATGGCTGCTCACTTCAGCAACACTGATCAAGTCTGACAGTCAATTTTCTTAACCATGTTACAGTGTCTCCGAACTAGGCTAGAAAAACATTATCATTTTCCCAAAACATTTTGCCTCTGCTACTCTTAATTTAAACACATCACACTTAATAGAATTAGGACAGAATAAAAATCAGTTTGAAGCTTCAGACAATTGATACACATTTTCTGCTTCTCTCTGGTGCGGAGTTTCTGTAGAGTTCCATCTGAAAGTGTGGAGGATGGAGGCTGAGGGCTGCTCAGCTGGACAGCCTGGAAGACGCAGTAAATGACAGATGCCAGCAGCCAGACCCTATGAAGCCACTGGGAGCTAGGAGGGAGCTGCCTATACAAACTTGTCTATACAGTTGGACAGCAGACTGGGAGTCAGGAACAGGTCAGCTCCAGGGTATGATGGGGGCAGGCCATAAAGGTAGAAGCAGAAAAACCTACCATGATGGCAGAAGTGAGGCTTTGGTAGACTGGGGGTGGGGATGGGGGTGGTCAGAGTCAGAGGGAAGCAAGACTGAAGAATTGCTTGCCTGAGCCCACACACACAAAAAAAGTCAAGTTTTCTTCAAACCCTTGGAATGACAGTGGATAGAAGCAAATAGAGTTGTACAGCCTGGTCTAGTTGGAGCTGCCCCCACTACCTGCCTGGTACCCTCTGTCCAGCTCCTCCCCCTCCTCCTCCCTCCTTCTGGACAACATCACCGACTATGCGAATACCTGATGAAATGCATAACCCTTTAAACTCTTGCTTCAAACTGATAATGCCTCTACTTGTTGAAATTATTCATCAATTAGGCTTCATTAATATTTAACCTCCTCATTAAAAAAGGCATATTCCATAACAGAATGTATACTGCATCTAAACAGCTCTTTAGTCTTCATAGAACAACACCAAGACTGAATTCTTAAATACACATAAAGAATAAATACAGGTTGCTATCAAGAGTCGGGAGAATAATTAGCATATTCAGTTATTATAATTCTATTTGAAATGCCATTCTTAAGCCTGTTTAACCCCCAACAATCCTGATCAGAAATGGAAACACATGAAATGTAGGTCAATTCTGGAGTTCTGATATGAAAAGCCTTGTGAAAGGGAAAAGAAAAATCTTAGGGATTATTGAAGCAAATTGCAAATCTTTTACCTTAAAAGAAAAACCGATAGCCCTGGCCGGTATTTATCAGCAGTTAGAGCGTTGGCCCGCAGACCAATGAGTCTTGGGTTCAATTTCGGTCACAGGCATGTACCTCGGTAGTGGTTCATCCCTGGCCCTGGTTGGGTCCTGTGGGAGGCAACCAGTCGATGTGTCTCTTTCACATCGATGTTCCTCTCTCTCCCTTTCTCTCCCTCTTTTCCACTCTATCTGATGATAAATGGAAAAATATACTTGGGTGAGGATTTAAAAAAAAAAACCTCAAAAACCTATACCAATGAAAATGTAAATACAGGAACCATTCATACAATTACAGTTCTTTACTCTCAGTTTTTGATATTGTAGTTTGGTCTTCAACCTTATCCTCACCTTGTTCAAAAGCATCCGATTAGGCTGACTTGTCTAACATAATCAGAGCATGAATTCTCCTGTAAGGGACATTCTTAGAGTTTGAAAGATGAAACAAAACAGCGTGTTACTGACCATTACTTGCCTCGGGAGCTCTGTCCCTGGAGCTCCCGGAGCCTCTCTCGCAGGCCTCTTCCCCTCTCTCGGCACTTGGAGGGCATGTTCCTGACCTCTGCTTCCCTGCCATCGGAGTCAGGCTGCTAGCCTGATTGACACTCCCGAGGCCCAACTGCCTAGGAGGTGTTTCCACTTTCCCATACTACGGAGGACCCCAGGAAGGCTTTGGGGTCTCCACGTGAGGGAAGCAGAGACATCCGCTGGCTGAGCCAGGAGCCTTTCCTCTCCCCACCCCCATTCCAGCCCCAGCGGCTCCCCATCACTGTCAGCTGCACTGAGCTGCTGTGAAGAAAAAAAATTTTAAAGAGGGGAGAGGTCATTCTCATAGCCTCTTATAGAAAAGGCTATAGCCTCTTTTTCTTATAGAAAAAGATTGAAATTTAGCTGCATATGTGATTAAGAACCACTGGCGGCTTTTAAGCAGGACAGTGATAGAAGGAGATTTGTGTTTTAAAGATCGTTTCCATGGCAATGTAGAAGATCAACTGGAAGCAGGGAGAACAGGCTGAGTTAGTAAGGACCTGAATTAACATAGTACACATAGAAATAGAGGGTAGGGGACAGATATTTAAAACCAGAATGGCTAGGTCATAGAGAATGAAGGAAATAAAGGAGAAGAGGAAAGTCCAGGGTAGTGTCCTGGGAGCTCCATGGGCAAGGACTTCGGAGGATGTCTGCTTAGGGCTCCTGGGAAAGGCTTTCTCTCTCCTGAAAGAGACAATGCTGAAAATGATTCACCTGGTTGGCCTACTGTTGGCTCATGTGTTTCCCAACCATCCTGCAACTATGAGGGGACATGCTTCAGGATCCAGGCACTGTGCCGAGGAGAAGCAGAGGTCAAGAGCCTGAGTCCCTGAAACGTAATGAAACTCCTGAGCCAGACTGGACCCACCCTATCCTTGTTCTATGAAACACAAAAGGTCTTTACTACTTAGAGCTTTTTAAGTTGGGTGTTTTTGTCCTTGTAGTATCCTGATTCAGAGGCTTATTGTCCAAGAGTTGCTTATCAAGAAGAGATTTAGACTGTAGCTGTTTAGTGTTGGATATACTTATTTATGGCCCACCCATTCCTTTGTCAAGAACACAATCCCAGCCCTGGCCGGTTTGGCTCAGCAGTTAGAGCGTCGGCCTGTGGTCCAGAGAGACCTGGGTTCAGTTCTCACTAAGGGCACGTACCTCGGTTGCAGTTTGTCCCCGGCCCTGGTTGGGTCGTGCAGGAGGCAGCCACTCGTGTCCCTTTCACGTCGATGTTTCTCTCTCTCTCTCTTCCTCTCTCTCCTTCCCACTCTATCTAAACAAAAAATGGAAAAATGTCCTCGAAAAATGTCCTCGGGTGAGGATAAAAAAATAAAGAAAGAAAGAACACAATCCCATTGTCCCTAGGGGTAAATCAGACCTGCCTCATGACGCAGATTTCAGGAATGTACTGCTTTCAGAAAGCAGGGTTTGCCCGTGCTAACAATAGAATCTTAGACCTGGCCAAAATGGGTGTGCCCCAGATGTGAAATCAGAGTTGCAGGCAGTGTTCAGGATCGCTGCAATGTCACTATTTTCTTCTGTGCACACCTGCCTGTATGCTGGCTGCAGGCCTAAGAATGTTCTAAAACAAACCAGGATCCTTTACTGTAAGAAATTTATTATTTGGGCTTTGCGGTCTTAGCTCGGGATCAAAAGGACTGTTTACAATCTACTCTTACTTCACAGAACAGACTACCTTGTTGCCGAGAATGCATCAAGGCCCCATGTCATCAACACCTGAAGTACCAGGATGGTAAACTTTCTTTGTGGGCTTCCACCCAGAGAAGCGAAGGGGCACACCCATACGTGCAAGGTGGCTCAGGAGAGTCCCCAGACTGACGTGAACAGAAATGGCCCCCAAATGGCTCCTCTTTGGGTCTCCCCTGCAACCTGAGCTGCCTCAACTTCCCCTCATCACACTCTGGAGGCCAGTGTGGCAGGAATAACAATGGGTGAGACAAAGGTTGATTAAAAATTGGAACTGTCGTTTCTTCCACGAGATTTTTGCATAAGCACAAATATCAGCCATTGAGTTTGACACTAGCTGACTACGAGGCAGTCAACTTGATGACACATCTATTACTTTAAACCATAGTGCTATGCAGTTTAATTCTAGATTTAGCTATGCTCGGGCTCTTCCTCGGCAAACACATATAATTAATAAAATGGCTAGAAGAAATAAGAAACAGTGTGTAAATGCCAGAAAGGTCTTTTCACAAATGAGGAATGGCACCCTAACTATAAAAACAATTTATTTAAGGGGGGAGGTCATAATTCATCAATAGAATTTGATGGAGTAACCATTTAATTTTCACACTTCACCAGAGTTAAAATATAGATGTGCTATCAGATGCTCTTGAATACCATTTTGAAATTGAAATGTTCTTCAACACCATTTTTCTTCTGTAATAAGAATGTTTATTTCAGCCCAGCCAGTGTGCTTCAGTGGTTGAGCGTCGACCCATGCACCAAGAGGTCACTGGTTCAATTCTTGATCAGGGCACATGCCCAGGTTGTGGGCCAAATCCCCAGTGGGGGGGCATGCAGGAGGCGGTCAATCAATGTTCTCTCTCATCAATGTTTCTATCTCTCTCTCTCCCTTTCCCTTCCTCTCTCTAAAATCAATAAAGAAAAAAAAAAGTTTTTTAATGTTTATTTCACACTCGAGTGTGGCCTGTGGATATCTTCTAATCCTTCCTTGTCAGTTAAGTAGGAACATGTTAAAGAGAGTCACTCCCAATTAGACTGACCACATACACTGTGGAGTCTTAGAAAACCCCAGTGGGCCCTCTTGCCACGGGAGCCTTTTTCTTGACGCCCTGGGCATCCTGAGTATGAGTAGGCAGACAAGCTTTTGTGCTGCTCATTAACATACTTCTCATAACTACTGCTGACATTTAGTTTAGATGAGAGCATGCTACTGAAATTAATTTATAATTACATAATCACATCCTAGATTCCAAGTCTAGTATCTTTTAATGGCAAATAAAATTAATTTCATGGTTCTTTGATTCTTCCTACACAAGCCAGAGAAGCACTGGCTATATTTTTTCATCTCTTCGTGTTATTTGCTGATTCTTCATTTTTCTTCAGGTTTCTAGCAAATTACAGGTAGTGTCTCTGTCTCTTTATAAATCTATG